GGTAACTGGAATAAAAGGTTGCAACTCCTACCATAGTCAGTCGGATTTACGGGGGTAAGTTAAGTTTGCGAAGTTACCGACAAGAAGCACTTCAATAATTTCTGTTTTGGTTCGCCGATTGCTAGACTGAATATTGCATGATATTACCAACAAAAAACACATGTGCATTGTTTTAATTCACCAACAAAGATCTTGTTTGACCTCTGCCTAACCCATAAATAATATATATTACTCTTAATTTAATTGTTCCTAGAGTTTTAGACATGTTGCTTGTCGGTAAACTTTCAATTCACTGAGGAAAATTGTTAGGTCGGTGAAGTTGAGCATTCTAGTAGTGGTAGCCTATTGGGTTGTGGTTAGACTTGGCAAAATTGGATCCAATTTGAAAATCTGACCTAACTCATTCGTTATGGGTTGGGTGATAGGTCTTATGTATTAATTCGAAATCTGAAATGATCAGGACTGAAATTATCCGAATTCAAATGGGTTCAGTCACAGGTAGATTGGGTCACCTGAAATGACCCGAACTATTATTTATTTATTTTTTATTAGATTATTTAAAAATTAATTTTAAATTTCTAATTTTTTAATCCTAAAAGTAGAAATAAATAAAATATACAAATCCTAACTTTCCGTCAATTTTGCTTTCTCTTAACTTTTCCTTTTTTCCACTCTTGCTCTTTCCTTCGTTATCTCAAACTCTTTAATCTTTCTCTTTGGTGACACTTGCATCGAAAATCAGATTATGTGATATATAATGAGTTGTATCATATGGTATTGTCAAAAAAATCTTTAAAAAAAGAAAAGAAAAGAAAGCAAGAATGCTTATTGAAAATCAAAAGCCAGTGGTTAAGATCAAGGTTTTTAAAATCAGACGAACCGGTCGATTGAACCGGTCGGACCGATACTCGGTAATAAAAATGGTTCGGTTCATATAAAAAACCGTTTGAGGTCAAAACTGGTCAAAACCGGTCAAAACCGTTCAAAACCGATGAAACCGGTGAAACCGGTAGAACCGAAAAAACCACCGGTTCAATTTCTCATGCAATTTTCTTTTTATTTTTTTCAATTTCACCCTCACCATTCCTTTCTTATACCGATTTTATCCCTTAATTTTAATGAAATTACAAAATTACCTATCCCTCTCATCAAATTTCCCTTGTTATTTGAACCGATTGGTTCATCGGTTCAACTGGTTGAACCGGTCAAACCAAAAACCAAACCTGAAAACAGTTCAATGACCGGTCCGGTTTTAAAAACCTTGGTTAAGATACTCTCATCACCATTAGAAGCATAATGACAAAAACATCAAGAGCATCAAGGTTTG